GTATCGCATCACATGTCCAAAATATTCTAACTTTTGCTTTTTAATGGTTTTGATGATTTCCCTTGGCTTTCCCAGGCAGCTTATCACCTCCTCATTTCTGATTTTGCCAACCGAGCTTATACATAACAGCCATGTGTAAATCCACATTTCAAATGCTTCTAGTCTCTTCAAGTAGCTTTTTGTCAGAGACCAACTCTCTACTCCATAGAGCAGGCTAGAAAAGATGTAACATCTGACAAGGCTCATTTTAGTCTTGGGCTTAGGTTGTGACTGCAGAAGACCTTTTTCATTTTGAAGAATGCTGTTCGAGCCTTCTCTATACTTGTCTTTACTTCAGGGGTCATGTTCCAGCTTTCATGTAAATTAGAACTGAGTTATGTAATCCTTTCAACTTTTTCTAGTGGCATGTCTTCCGAATTTATCAGTGGTAAATTAATTGGTTGTTTTCTGGCAACCATGGTCTTGGTTTTTGGGGTGTTAAGCTTCAAGCCGTATTTTTCAAATATTTCTGTGACTCTGTTAATGTGGAGCTGAAGGTCTTCATCCTTACTGGCAAGCAGAACTGTATCATCAGCATATCTTAAACTGTTGACCCGAACACTGTTTACTTTGAGGCAGGGGTGGGATTCAAATTTTTTAACAACCGGTTCTGTGGGTGTGGCTTAGTTGGTGGGCGTGGCTTGGTTGTCATGTTATTGGCTGGGTGTGGCCAACTCAATATCACTCTCATCGAGGCACGCATCTCCTCCCCTGGCCTCTCATGACTGTGGGGATTCTGCAACAGTCATAAGTGTGAAAAATGGTCATAAGTCACTTTTTTCAGTGCCATTGTAACTTTGAATGGTCACTCCACACAAGCAAAGTACCAGCAAGGGAGGGGGGAAAATCTCCAGAGAAGTTCCTGAGAGAGGAAGTCTAGTGCTGCCAAGAATGTAATAAGGGTTAAGAGAGAGGCAGTTTCTGTAAGCAACACCAGAATGTTTCCTTCCTGCCTTCCTTACAGGATTAGCCCAGTAATTTCTTCTAACAACCGGTTCTCCAAGCTGCTTAGAATGTTAACGATCGGTTCTAGCGAATAGGGGCGAACCGGTAGAATCCCACCCCTGCTTAGAGGCCAATATTGATGTTTTCCAGTGCTTCGTTGAAAATTCACAGAATAGATATTAAACAACAACAGAGACAGAATACAGCCCTATCTGACCCCTCTGCTTCATCTGAATATTTTTGGCCTAAACTCACATTTGCAACCTGATGCCAATATAGATTCTTATTATTCGGATGTCTTTGTCATCCAGTCCCATTTGTTTCAGGACTTGTAAGTTTGTTAGGTCTTATTTTATCAAATAGAGGGACATGGTGGCTCAGGGGCTAAGACGCTGAGCTTGACGATCAGAAAGGTCAGCATGTTTGGCGGTTCAAATCCTCAGCACCACGTAACGGAGTGAGCTCCCATTACTTGTCCCAGCTTCTACCAACCTAGCAGTTTGAAAGCATGTAAACATGCAAGTAGAAAAATAGGGACCACCTTTGGTGGGAAGGGAACAGCGTTCTATGCGCCTTTGGCATTTAGTCATGCCGGCCACATGACCACGGAGACGGCTTCGGACAGCGCTGGCTCTTTGGCTTTGTAACGGAGATGAGCACCACCTCCTAGAGCCGGAAATGACTAGCATGGATGTGTCAGGGGAACCTTTACCTATTTTATCAAATGCTTTTTCAAAATCAATGAAGCACATTTAAACACTGTGACTGACATCTCTATAACACCGTACGAGAACTTGAATGCTAAATAAGGCATCTCGTGTACCAAGATTGTTTCTGAAACAAATTGTGTGTTACTTAAACACTCAATTTTGTGGTATATTGTTGTGTGAATTATTCTCAGGAATATTTTCAGAGCGTGACTCATTAAGCTTATTGTTCTGTATTCAGTACACTTTTTTGCATTTATTTTTTGGGGATTGTCACAAAGGTTGACTTTAGCCAATCATTCGGTATCTCTCCTGTTTCATAATATTCGATTGAAGAGCTTCAGTAAAAATTTCTTCCCATTGTCTTCTAGCAATTTTAAAATTTCTACTGGGGTATCATTAGGTCCTGTGGCTTTTTTTGTTTTCACTATTTCTATTGCATGTTCAACCTCCTTCATAGTAATGTTTGGTCCAGTTGTTTTACTTCCCATATCAATATTATCCCTAGTGTCCTCAAAAGTTCTTCAATATTAGGCTAGAAACAACACCAGAATGTTTCCTTCCTGCCTTCCTTACAGGATTAGCCCTGTAAAGTGGGGGAAAAAACAAAAGGAGATTTTTTTTCCAACAACCGGTTCTCCGAAATGCTCAGAAAGTTAACAAACTGTTTAGTGAATCTGGCTTCCCCATTGACTTTGCTCGTCAGAAGGTTGCAAAAGGGGATCACGTGACCACTGGAACCATCCTAAGTACATGTCAGTTGCCAAGCATCCAAATTTTGATCATATGATCACGGAGGTTGTGAGAAAAATGGTCATGTCACTTTTTTCAGTGCTGTCGCAACTTCATATGATCATTAAACCAACTGTTGAAAGTCAAGGACTATCTGTACATGAACTCATAAGCTACACCTCACTCACCAGGGGTGCAGTCTTCGACCCCATCCACCATGATGACATCGTACTGGGAAATAGAAGGTTTTCTGAGTTGCAAATACTTCAAGTAACCTAAAAGACATAAGACTGGTGTTTAAAATCAGTATCAGTGTACAATAAACCAACATTTATGTTTTGCAATCTTCTGCGTTACAGCAGAAACAGAGCCTACTATGACTTTAAAAAGGAAGCATTGTTATAATTTCTTTTAATACAGAGTTTCCTAATCTTGGCCAATTAAAGATGCGTGGACTTCCAACTCCCATCATGCTGGCTCAGGAATTCTGGGAATTGAAGTCCTCATGTCTTAAACTGCCCAAGACAGGATTAGAACCCACCATCTCCTGGTGATTGGCCCAAAGTCACCCAGCCAGCTTTCATGACTTAGATAACAGATAACATTAACAGATAACCAGAGTTGGAAGGGACCTTGTACGTCATCGTCCAACCCCCCACCCAAGCAGGAGACCCTACACTATTTCTGACAAATGGCAATCCAATCTCTTCTTGAAAGCTTCCAGTGATGTCGCTCCCACAACTTGCCCTCCCACAACGAGGGCAACTTCTGTTCCATGGGTTGATTGTTCTCACTGTCAGAAAGTTTCTCCTTATTTCCAGGTTGAATCTCTCCTTGTTCAGTTTCCATCCATTGTTCCTTTTCTGGCCTTCAGGTGCTTTGGAGAATAGCTTGACCCCTTCCTCCTCTCTGGGGCAGCCCCTCAAATATTGGAAGACTGTTATCATGTCTCTCCTGGTCCTTCTCTTCACCAGACTAGCCAAGCTCAGTTCCTGCAACCGTTCTTCATATATTTTAGCCTCCAGTCCCCTAATCATCCTGGTTGCTCTTCTCTGTACTTTTTCTAGAGTCTCAACATCTTTTCTATAGTGTGGTGACCAAAACTGGATGCAGGACTCTAGGTGTGGTCTTACTAAGGCTTTATAGAGTGGTATTAGTACCTCCCTTGATCCTGATTGTATCCCTCTGTTAATGCAATTTAGGATTGTATTAGCTTTTTTGGCTGCTTCTGCACACTGCTGGCTCCTATTTAGCTGGTTGTCCACTAAGATTCCAAGATCCCTCTCATAGTTACTGCTATTGAGCCTGGTTTCACCCAGTCTATATGTGTCCTTTTGGTTTTTCTTGCCATGTAGGATTTTACTTTTCTCTACGTTGAATTTCATTTTGTTAGATAGGGGCCAGGATTCAAGTCTTTCGAGATCCATCTGGATCCTGAGCCTATCTTCTTGGGTGTTGGCTATTCCTGCCAGCTTAGTATCCCCTGTAAATTTGGTGAGTTCCCCTTCTATTCCCTCATCTATGTCGTTAATAAAGATATTGAAGAGTACTGGGCCTAAAACGGAACCTTGTGGCACCCTACTGCTTACTTCCCTCCATGTAGACTCAGACCCATTAAGGATTACTCGTTGAGTACGGTTTGCCAGCCAGTTGCGAATCCTATCCCACCTTTTTCTAGCTTACCATAAAATAGGTTGTGGTCTATTTTGTTGAATGCCTTGCTGAAATCTAAGTATATTATGTCCACAGTATTTTGCTGGTCTACTAATTTAGTCACTATGTTGAAGAATGAAATAAGATTGGTTTGGCATGATCTGTTCTTAACAAACCCGTGCTGACTGCTAGTTATTACTTTACTTGTTTCTAGATGTTGGCAGATCCGGTTTTTTATTATCTTTTCCAGTATCTTCCCGGGTATTCATGTTAGGCTGATTGGTCTGTAGTTTCCTGGGTTTGTTTATTTTTTCCTTTTTTGAAGATGGGAACCACTTAGGCAAGACTAGAACGCACCATCCCCTAATGATTGGTCCAAAGTCAAAAAGCTGGTTTTCATGCTTAAGGCGGAACTAGAATTCACCCTCTCCTGGTGATTAGTTCAAAGTCATCCAACCAGCTTTCATTCCTAAGACAGGATTTGAACTCACTGTCTCCTGATGATTGCTTTAAAGTCACTAGCTGGATTTCATTCCTAAGGAGGGACTAGAACTCACTGACTCCTGGTGATTGGTCCAAGGTCACCCAGCCGGCTTTATGCCTAAGGCAGGACTAGAATTTCCCTCCATGAAGAAAATCGCCCCTTTATTCTTATTTTTTTCTTCCTGTTTCTTCAGCAGAGCTAAATGCCCCCAACCTCCTCTCACATATTCCCACTTACCGTCGTGCGTCACTGTGTATGCCATCTTCCGGTTTTGGCGCAGCATTTTCATCTTGCTCCATATTTTTCTCGCTTCTTTCATGATCTAGAAAGCAAAAGCCGGTAAGAAGATCTTGCTGGTGAAAAGATCAGCGTTTTCTCCTCTAGGCTGCCCAGAGATCTTGAAGGAAAAGGAAGGTCTGGATCTACAGTGAGTCCTCGACTTACAACCACAATGGGGCCCCACATTTCCACCGCTAAGCAAGACAGTTGTTGTTTTGCCCCATTTTATGACCTTTCTTGCCACAGTTGTTAAGTTCAACACACAGTTGATAAGTGAATCTGGCTGTTCCCGTGGACTTTGCTGCTCAGAAGGTCGCAAAAGAGATCACATGATTCCTGGACACTGCAATGCTCATAAATACAGGTAGTCCTCGACTTAGGACCACAATAGAGCCCAAAATTTCTGTTGCTAAGCGAGACAGTTCTTAAGTGAATTTTGCCCCATATTGCAACTTTTCTTGCCACTCCAGTTCTTAAGTTTGTCACACGCTTGTTAAGAGAATATGGCTTGCCCATTGCTTTTACTTGTCAGAAGATCACAAAAGGGGATCGCTTAACCTCAGGACACTGCGACCGTCATAACTATGAGTCAGTTGCCAAGTGTCTGGATTTTGATCACGTGGCCTGCAACGGTCGCAATTGTGAAAAATGGTCCTAGGTCACTTTTTTCAGTGCAGTTGTAACTTTGAATGGTCACTCAATGAACTAAATTGAGGACTACCTGTCACAGGTCCTAAGAACCAATACTCACTTGTTTTTCTCCAGGGTCGGTCCTGCACCAAGTGGGCACGCGCTTCTTAGTGATGGACTCATCTGTCGAAGCGAAAAAGGCTTTGAGGGTCTGAATGACTCCCATGGCTATGGATGGAGACTGCCTCTTGGGATTGGAGAGGACAAGGCTGACCGCACGGAAGGTCAACGAGCCCAGTTCACAGTCCTTCATGTGAGGGTAACTACAGCAGAATGAAAGAGGGAAGGTGGAATTAAGCTTACTTGAATGTAGATTACTGGCAAGGAAGCCTTTTGGTCTTTCGGTTTCCTTTTTGGCTTTTGAATGTCTGTTTTCAATGGTATGTAGTTGTTGTTTCTCTCAATGTGCCTATTGATGGCTGATTTTTTTTCCTGAGTGCCAGGAATTCTCTGGCGTTTTAGATGGCAATAGCAATAGCACTTTGACTTATACGCCGCTTCATAGTGCTTTTACAGCCCTCTCTAAGTGGTTTACAGAGTCAGCCTCTTGCTCCCAACAATCTGGGCCCTCATTTTACCGACCTTGGAAGGATGGAAGGCTGAGTCCACCTGGAGCCTGGTGAGATTCAAACTGCCAAATTGCAGTCAGCTGGCAGTTAGCAGAAGTAGCCTGCAGTACTGCACTCTAACCACTGTGCCACCACGGCTCCTAGATAGCACTGACGATGTTACCTACTTGGCTCATGAAATGTCTGCAACCAAACAACCAAGCTCAGAAATCACCAAAGACCTCAGAGTCCATATTAACTTCTAACATGCAGAGAGTATGCCTTAAATCATGATCTGGTGGGAAAAGAACACCTGTTATCCATCTCGAACTGAAGTGAATCTCCCTTTCATGAAATCTCCTGACAGTGAGAACAACTAATCGGTGAGATGGCTTGCCTCCAGAAGTTGTGGGTGCTTCAACAGTGGCAATGTTTAAGAACAGATTTGACAACTATTTGTCTCAAATGTTATAGGGTCTCCTGCCTCAGCAGCGGGGTTGGACTAGAAGACCTCCAAGGTCCCTTCCAATTCTATTATTCAATCTTTCCAGCAGCGTAGGAATCCTATTTTATTTCATAAATGTCCTAAGAAACCATTTCAAAATAATAAATTATTGTTTTTCTGGTTTGTAGGGATCTTTTCTTTTTCATTATTTTATACCGCATCATATTGCTGTTTCTTAAAAAAAAAAAAAAAAAACAGAGCAGATTCATTAAATAGGATGCAGTTACTTACTTTTCCTTAATTTCATCTAACGCAAAGCCGTGGATGGTTTTACAGGTGAGGTTGGTTAATTTAGCCTCCGACACCTTATCGACCATGGACCTGCTGAACGCCAAGTACAGGAACTTCTTCGTGGACCACTTCCGGGCGTACTGGATCAGAGTGGATGTTTTGCCAGTGCCTGCATGAAAAATTACAAACATTTCAGTCCTTCTGGGGGGCAGGGGTTCCCCCTTGGCCTGGTTCCTTCCAGGCAGCCAGGATGACAGAAAAAAATCCCAGGATTTTATAGGTTGAAGGTGTGAGGTTAAGACTGAAGCCTCCATGTGTAAAGATGAAATTAAGCAAGGTGGATAAAATCTAGGACTCTTACCTAATAGATCCCTTCAGATGCAAATGAACCAAGTCATTAAGAAAACAAAGAAGAAAAAAATGTCACAAACCCCATCAACAGCTATCAGACTTCAAAATTAACAATACAGATAGTCCTCCACTTACGACCAAAACCTTTTGTTCCTAAGTGAAACATTTGTTAAAGTGATTTTTGCTCCATTTTACAACCTTTCTTTGTTGCTGTTAAGTGAATCAGCAGAGTTGTTAAATTAGTAATCCGGTTGTTAAGTGAATCTGGGTTTCCCATTGATTTTGCTTGTCAGGCGGTCGCAAAAGGGGATCATGGGACCCCGGGACAATGGAACCGTTATAAAAGTGAGTCAGTTCCCAAGCACCTGAATTTTGATCACGTGACCATGAGAATGCTGCAAACAGTCGTAAGTGTGAAAAAATGCTCATCAGTCACTTTTTTCAGTGCCTCTTGAATGGTCATTACATGAACCGTTGTATGTCTATGTTAGTAGCTGTCAATTTACAAAGCAAGGACTTTGAGGGTTCAGAAGAATGCTAGCCTAGTGGAGGAGGATGTGGGTGACTGTTTGAGTGTGTGTGTGAGAGAGAGAGAGAGGGAAAGAGTGACAGAGAGAAAGAGAAAGAGAGAGAGAAAGAGAGAGAAAGAAAGAGAAAGTGAGTGAGAGAAAGAGAGAAAGTGAGAGTGAGTGAGAGAAAGAGAAAGAGAGAAAAAGTGATAGAGTGAGAAAGAGAGAGAAAGACAAAGAGAGAGAAAGAGAAAGTGAGAGAGTGAGTGTGAGAGAGAGAGTGTGTGTGTGTGTAAATGAAGAGAATATTTGTAGTTTTTGGGTTCTTGATGCACTACAAGTTTGGTTGAAGAGAGTGGGGTTTGCAGGGAAGAGGAGAAGAAGAGGAGGGGCAATGTGGGGTCCTTGGGGCTCTCTGAACTTGCAGACGTTTCATGACCCAACTAGATCACATCATCAGTGCTACAAGGCTTGTGCTAAAAGGCTACTAAGCACTGATGAGGTTCCCTAGTTGGGTCATGAAACCGTCTGCAAGAAAACCACCAAGCTCAGGGAGCACCCAGGACCCCTGAGCTACAAATATTCTCTTCTATCAGCAACACTACAATCTCCATAAACAGCGGAGAAGAGCCATATCAGCATGCATCCCCCACAAGGAGAATCTTGTTTTAAATAGCAAGAGATCTTTGGAGGATTTAAGGAAAGCCAGTGAAATGAAGATCTGGACAAGGTTACAGCAGCTCAAAAAATATGCAATGATTTGGATGATAAAATATAATAATAGAATATATAGAATGTTAGATAACAAGGAATATCTTTGCTTTTTCTTTTTCTTTTGTTATTTGACATCATATCTATAAAGTGTTTCTAGGATAGATTTGGTATGATTATATGATTTGTTATGGAATAAACTACCTAAATTATAGTTATCTCATAAAGTATGAATGAATAAAATTATAGTCAAATGATTTTCTAATAGCGATACTAGGATATATAAGTTTGAATTGATAATATGAGTTATTATGTAATGTAACTGTAATTGAGACTATTAAATGAATGCACAAAACTGATGAACCAACCGACACACTGTTTGTATATATGTATGGAAGAGAGTTGATGTTTTATTTGTTTTGTTTGTTTTTAAAAAATCAATAAAATTGTTTTCAAAAAAATATATATGCAATGATTAGTCAGTTGGCAGCTACAGAGGGAATCAAGAATCTTCTGCACTCGGGCTGCCTTACCTGCAAAACCCATAATTTTTACGCGCTCTCCAGGTGCAATGGCGTGTTTTAAGATCTGTTGTTGTTCACTAGTAAATTGTAAATCAGATCTGTTGATGAACAGAACCAGAAAATAGTAAAAGGTTAACATAGGTTAACATAGGTAATCATGTGGTCTATACAACAGAGCAAACCGGGTCCAATTCAAGGTTTCAAGATGTGTGGGCTTCAACTCCCAGAATTCCCCAGCCAAAATTTGTATTTGCTGGCTGGGGAATTCTGGGAGTTGAAGTCTACATGACTTTCAGTTGTCAAGGGTGATAGACGTTGGGCTAAATTGTTCCCCAGTTCTCCTCGGAATACCTATACAGGTAGTCCTCAACTTACAACAGTTCATTTAGTGACCGTTCAACATTACAACAGCACTAACAGTGACTTAGGACTGTTTTTCATACTTATGACCATTGCAGCATCCCAATGTGATCAAAATTTGGATGCTTGGCAACTGTTTGATATTTATGATGGTTGCAGTGTCACATGATCTCCTTTTGCAACCTTCTGATAAAGAAAGTCAATAGGGAAGCCAGATTCATTTAACAACCGTGTTACTCACTTAGCAACAGCAGTAATTCACTTAACAAAGGTGGCAAGAAAAGTCGTAAAATGAGGCAAAATTCACTTAACAAATGTTTCCCTTAGCAACAAGTAATTTTAGGCTCAATTACAGTCATAAATTGAGGATTACCTGTACATGTTTGCAAACATTCTGTAAAATCCTGGTTGTTAATACAGGTAGTCCTCGACTTACGCCCAACATTTCTGCTGTTAACATTTGTTAAGTTAGTTTTGCCTAATTTTCCCACCTTTCCTGCCACCGTTGCTAAATGAATCACAGTAGTTGTTGACACGGTTGTTAAGTGAATCTGGCTTCCACATGGACTTAACTTGTCAGAAGGTCGCTAAAGGGGATCAAGTGACCCCAGTACACTGTAACCGTCATAAAATTGAATCAGTTGCTAAGTGTCCAAATTGTGATCACATTACCATTGGGATGCTGCTATGGTTGTAAGTGTGAAAAACAGTCCTAAGTCACTGTTAGTACTGTTGTAACGTTGAATGGTCACTAAATGAACTGTTGTAAGGCGAGGACTACCTAAGTGTGAAACACAGTCATGAGTCACCTTTTTCAATGCCATTAGTTACTAAACAGAAAGTTAACATTCCTACCCAAGATCTCTTTCACTGCTGGATAATTCAGGATCATTTAAGGGTGAATTCTCCAAGTGACGCAAGCAATAAAAAACACTGTAGTGAAGCCTAGAAGGATAAAGAAATTGGGGAAAATTAAAATGAACCTCAAAGTAAACTCTTAAATTGTATAAAACCCAGGAAAAATAATTCAGAGACGGGGAATAAACACACCTCGGCAGATTTCTGTTTTAATGAACCAACGCTTAAAAGCAGCAGCATCTCTTTGCAGACGCATGAGAGAGCCTGAGCAAAGTTGCAGCTGCTTTAATGAATAGGAGAGGAGTTTTATTTTTAGTTATATTTATTGGTATGCTGCCTTTATTTTTGCACATAAGAAGGTGAAAATATCCAATGCAGCTTCCTCCTCCTCCTCTTCCTCATAACAACAACTCTGTGAGATGGATTGGGCTGAGAGAGAGAGAGAGAGAAGCCCAAAGTAATCCAGCTGGCTTTCATGCCTAAGGCGGGACTAGAACTCACTGTCTCCTGCCTGGTGCCTTAACCACAAACCCAAACTGGCTCTCATGTTCAATTGTGTACTTTTTTCAAAGCATGCACAGCCTTCCTTACCAAAGATACTCCTACTTTTACTCCAGCCGTAAACTACAGGTAACAGACCTAAGAGCCTCCTGAGACCCTTTGCAAACTTACCTTTTACTGATCTGGACTTCATTCTCTTGCATGGCGTAAAGTAGGGTGGCCATACAGTACATCATCTTCAGGCTGTCCGTCCGCGACATGGTGGTGCTGGGTCTTCGGAGACAGTTCACCAGCTCCTGAACATCGCAAACACCTCCAGCCAGGAGCACAATGGTCGCCATCACTGCCCGAACATAGGTTGGCTGGAAGAACAGGGGTGAATCATTGCAGGGGTAAGGGAAACCTTTTTCTCTCTCACACAGGTTGTGTTATCTGTCCTGCCTGACACCTACAGGAGGGCAGGATGAATGGTACAAGTCAGTGGTGGGATTCATTTTTTTTTACTACCGCTTCTGTAGGTGTGGCTTGGTGGGCATGGCAGGAGAAGGATAATGCAAAATCCCCATTCCCTTCCCACCCCACTAACCTGCTTTCCAGCTCCGTTCCCCTGTGCAGGGCAACCAAAGAAGACCCAGCCGATCAGCTGGGACTCAATGGGAGGCAGGGAATAGATAGGGGGCCAGTCAGAGGTGGGATTGGCCGGTTCTCCAAACGACTCAAAATTTCCGCTACCGATTCCCCAGAACCAGTCAGAACCTGCTGAATACCAACTCTGGCACAAGTAGGGCTCAACTTACAACTATTCAAGGAATGTGGGGTCCTTGATGCTCTTTGAGCTTGGTGGTTTTCTTGCAGATGTTTCATCACCTGACCAGGTAACATAATAAGTGCTGGAAGGGAGTGGTGTTTGCCGAGGGGAGGGGGAAGCGGGAGGAGGACTGTGGAATCAGGGGTGGAATTCAAATTTTGTAACAACCAGTTATGTGGGCGTGGCTAGGTGGGTGTGGCGATGTAACTGGGTGGGTGTGGCTTTTCTGGCAGCTCCCCCCCCCCATGTTTTTTGGGCCTTCTGGGCTTCAGGGAAGCCTCCTGGGAGGGCATTTTTGCTCCCAGGAAGCTTCCCTGGGGCCCAGGAATGCAAAAAATGCAGGGGGGCTGAGGGCGTGCTGCGCATCGGGTGGGCAACCGGGCGGCCATGTCGGAGGCGTGACCAGCCAGAAGTTACTACTGGTTTGGCAATCCATGCCAAATCCTTGCTACTGGTTCATGTGAACCGGTGCGATCCGGCTGAATACCACCACTGGTTGTGTGGCTTACAAGGCAAGAGAGGGCCCTGATTCCCTTCACAATGCATACCTGGGGAGAGAGTTTAAAGGAGAGGCAGTTGCAAGCTGCGTTTGCGGGAACAAAACGTTGAATCTATCTAAATGTTGACTGATGTTATCTGCGTTCCTGGAATCCTCCCAATTGGTATGATTTACTGCCCTGTTACTTCACTTCTGGAACTCCTTATTATTGTTTTATTTTGCTTTGTTGGATTTGTAGTTTAAAGTTTTCGGTTTTCAATGTTTTGGAGTAGAATATCTGCAGCCAAAGGCTATTTCAGGTTCCTGGGAGAGTTTTTTTCCCAAACCGGAAGATAACCGAGACATTGGGGGCAAAGTTGGAGCTAATAAAGGGATCCCTACTTATTATCTGGCTGGGTTGTCTTTGTGCCACACCCCTTTGGGTCATCACAGTCCGTAGGGATTCTGAGTCATCCAGGTCATGGTTGTCCCAAAGGTGCCTTTTCAGGAGGCAACTGGGATTTCTGTTTTTTTCTTTTGAAGACATTTCGCTTCAAAAGAAGGAAGAGGAGAAGGACTTGGGGTCCTTGGTGGTCTCTGAACTGGGTTGTTTTCTTGCAGATATTTCATTGCCCAGCTAAGTAACATCATCAGTGCAAGAAGGGAGGGACTGGAGGAGGAGGAGGAGGAGGAGGAGGAGGACGACGACGACGACAACTATGAGAGCCTTGGTGTTCGGAAGCCTGGCACTCAGACAAAGCACTAAACAGTCGCTAAAACAAATGGTTGCTGGAATTATCTGCCTGGGAATCCATGGCCTTTTGAGTGACACCCCCAAATTCTGAGCAAGAAAACCCACATCCAGGGAAAAACACAATGGAAACACCCCAAAACCTCAATTCCAGGGAGTGTTTAAGCCTGCCAAGACCTACTTGCTCTTTGTGATCATCCAAATCCGGAAATCTCTTGGCAATGCAGACTTCTGCCATGGGAAAGAACGAGTGGAGTTTCAGACACATGAGGACAGCGGTGGGATCTTGGCAGTAGCAGTTCCGAACAGCAGACGCACACCTGGATTGGGAAGAGAAACATGGCAGATGAGGGCCTTCTATACAGACATGGACTACTTCCTCCAGTTCAACTAATTTTTGTCATTTTCGCAGGATGGCAATCCCTGGATAACCTCATAGGAGTGGATTGGTTTCAGCAGGGGCTCCCAGCCCCCAGATAAAGGGCTACTACTGGGCTGTGGCCCAGTGGTGGGATTCAAATTTTTTTACTACTGATTCTATGGACATGGCTTGGTGGGCATGGGGTGGCCTTGTGGGCATGGCAGGGGAACAATACTGCAAAATCCCCATTCCCTCCCCACTCCAGGGGAAGGATACTGCAAAATCCCCATTCCCTCCCCACTCCACTAACCTGCTTTCCAGCTCCGTTCTCCTGTGCAGGGCCACCAAA